CAGAATGTTTATAGACTTTTCTTTCAAAGAAACACAGATCCAGCCCATCCTTCCCAGCCTTCTTTTTTTTTAAACAAAATTATTAATTTTTTTGTTGTTGACTATATACACAGCAAAACATACACCAATTCGATAGGTCCTACATGTACAATTCAGTGACACTGTGCACCCATGTCCTTTTCTGAGTTGTTCCCTCCTCATTAACATAAACTCACTGCCCGCTAAGTCTCTTATCTAATATTTAAGTTGCTGTTGTCAATTTGATACCATATGAATAGATCCTGAAAGTGCACACCATTCAGGGCACACATTTTTTACTGTTACTGTTGTTAGGTGCCATCAAGTTGGTTCCGACTCATAGCGAGCCTATGTACAACAGAAGGAAACACTGCCCGGTCCTGCGCCAGCCTCACAATCGTTGCTATACTTGAGCCCATCGTTGCATCCACTGTGTCAATCCATCTCATTGAGGGTCTTTCCTTTTTGGCTGACCCTCTGCTTTACCAAGCATGATGTCCTTCTCGAGGTAATGGTTCCTTCTGACAACGTGACCAAAGCACAAGAGATGACGTCCGACCATTCTTACTTCTAAGGAGTATTTCAGCTGTACTTCCTCTGAGAAAGACTTGTTGGTTCTTCTGGAAGTCAATGGTATATACAATATTCTTCAACAACACAATTCAAAAGCATCAACTCTTTTGTCTTTCTTATTCATTGTCCAGCTCTTACATGCATAGTAGACTATTGAAAATACTATGGCTTGGGTCAGGTGCACTTTAGTTTTCAAAGTGCCATCTTTGGTCTTCGATTACTCGAAAGAGGTCTTTTGCAGCAGATTTGCCCAATGCAATACATTTGTTTGATTTCTTGACTGCTGCTTTCATAAGTGAGGATTGTGGATCTAAGTAAAATGAAATCCTTGACAATGTCAGTCTTTTCTCCATTTACCATAATGTTGCTTATTGGTCCAGTTGTCAAGATTTTTTTTTTTTTATATTGAGGTGTAATCTGTACTGAAGGTTGTAGTCTTTGATCTCATTAGTAAGTGCTTCAAGTCTTCTTCACTCTTAGCAAGCAATATGTGTCATCTTCATATTGCTGGTTGTTAATGAGTCTTCTCCAATCCTGATACCATGTTCTTCTTCATATAGTCCAGCTTCTTGAATTATTTACTCAGCATACAGACTGAATAAGTATGGTGAGAGGATTCAACCATGACACACACCTTTCGTGCTTTTAAACCACACAGTATATATACCCTTGCTCTGTTTGAATGACAGCCTCTTGGTCACATATATATGTTACATATATATGATACATATTACATACATGATATACTTCATATATACCATGTATCACACATGAATCATATGTATTCCATGTACCATAGATATTACATACATACCACATATCACAGATATTAAATATATGCCATATATATAATATATAGGAGCTCTGGTAGGATAGTGCCTAAGGCACTTGACTGCTAACCAGAAGGCTGGCGGTTCAAACCCACTAGCCACTCCTTGGAAGGAAGATGGGGCAATCTACTTCCATAGTGATACTGCCTTGGAAACCCAAGGAGGGGTTGCTATGAGTTGGGTCCGACTCCATGGCACATAACAACAACAACATATAATATATGATACATATGTATGATTCTTTACTAGTTAAACTAAACTATTGTTTCATTTAAAGAAGACTTTAGGGGATATTTTTAATTTAAAGTTTAAATATTATCTCAGGGCAATAGTTTAAGGGGTTTATCCAGCTCCCATGGCTCCAGAAAGTCTGGATTCCACGAGAATTTGAAATCTGTTCTGCAGTTTTCCCTTTTTGATCAGAATTCTTCCCCATTCCCAAAATGTGAGTGCATGAGAGTGTCTGCAGGTTCAAGATACTGAACAAATGTCAAATCCATTCTTTCTACTATTCACTGAATTCTATTTTTCTATGTTTTTGTACAGTGATAAAATAACAACAGTTCCATTTATAATTTTTTTTGTCATATGACTCCTTGGCTCATGGGTAATTTTCATTAAAAGACGCATATCAAGTGTAATAACTGTCATTCATTATTTCTTTTTTAACAAATTTCTATTAAACCCACAATTAGCCATAGTATGTAAGTTTCTGTCAGTAACAAGCACTAGCAGTTTTGCCCAGAGTTAATCATGATCGTGTGCTTTTATTCTTAAAAGGGTACTTGCTCATTTACTGAGTGCATTGGTTAAAAATATTCTGGTAGCGTGGTGCCTAAGGCATTTGGCTGCTAACCAGAATGTTGGCAGTTCAAAGCCACCAGACACTCTGCGGAAGGAAGACCGTACAATCTACTTCTGTGAAGATTTACTGCCTCAGAAACCCAAAGGGGGTTGCTATGAGTTGGAACTGACCCGACGGCAGTGAGCTTGGTTTTTGGATTGGTATCACTGTAATAGCATTTTAAAGTTAGGAAGGCATTTATCTAAAACGAGATGTTTCTCTAGATTATTAAATGGATTAAGTTTGTCATGTAATAATACCCACTGTCATTGAGTTGATTCCTTCTCACAGGGACCCTGTAGGACAGAGTAGAATTGCCCCTTAGGGTTTCCAAAGCTGTAAATCTTTATGGAAACAAACTGCCTCATCTTCCTCCCACAGAGCAGCTGGTAGGTTAGAACTGCCAGCCTTTTGGTTAGCAGCCAAATGCATTAACCATTACCTCACCAGAGCTCCTCTGTCATGTACTGGAAACTATAAATTATTGATTTAATTCCAAAAGGCATTGGAATGTTAATCCTATATTTGAAACCTGCTACTCATATATATATATGAGTAGCAGGTAGCTATATATATACATACATATATATATATACATACATACATATATATAGGAGCTCTGGTAGCATAGTGGCTAAAAGCACTTGACTGCTCACCAGAAGGCTGGCGGTTCAAACCCACCAGCCACTCCTTGGAAGGAAGATGGGGCAATCTACTTCCGTAGTGATATGGCCTCAGAAACTCAAAGAGGGGTCGCTATGAGTTGGGTCTAACTCGACGGCACAAAGCAACAACTATATATATATATATTTTGGTAAATACTTTCACCTCAAATTCTTCAAATTAACTAAATACTGCTGAAACAACCAGATTTATTTAGTAAAAATGCAATTTCTGTGTTATAAGAGGCCTAAGGACTAAAAAAATCAAAAACAGGAGGATTTACTGCAAAGATACAGAGCCTAAGAAATAAATTACTCTGTTAATTACTCTGTTAAGTAATTTGTGGTAAATGTGGTTTCCTGTTTTACTGCTAGAAAAATATACTAATGATCCAATTTTTGTAGTTCTATGTGGCACAATGAGTTTTTGTGGCTTGTGTTATAGACAATCTAGATCACTGGTTGAATTCAAGTAGACACTTGAAAAACAAAGCAAAACATGCACACACACACACACACACACGTAATCACATTTCCTAGAGTAAAAGACATTGACTGGTAAGCCTTGTCTTTGGAAAGAGGCCTTTCGTTTCTCTTTCTCTTCCAATCTGGTCTCTCATAAACATAAACAATTACTATACACTCATTCTTCTACCACAAAATGACTATTAATAAATTCAGAGCTTTAATATCTACCACACAGATGCCTGAGAGGTGATTTGGTTTGTTTATTTTTGTTATCAATCCTCACAGGGGACTGAACATCTTGTGGTATAAGACTGCTTTGCCTAAGGAAAATGCAATATAAAATCACTGAAAAAGAGCCCTGAGGATTTTGTGCTCTCTGATGGCAAAAGGAAGGTGGTATTGATTCCACCTTTTGGACACTAAGCCAAAAGAAAGGACTCAGAGAGTTGATTTGTGATCATTGTTTTATTCAACATGGCTTACCAGGTGAGGAAGATGTTGCACCATGTACATGGCTCATGGCAGTTGAGGACCAGTGGGAGGCTTTGGATAGTTTCCTTCCCAAACCCAAACCCACTTAATTTGACTCAGATGGGCCCTACAGGGCAGAGTAGAACTGCCCTGAATGTTTTTCAAAGTTGTAAATCTTTACAGAAACAGACTGCCTCATCTTTTTCCCCACAGAGTGACTTCTGGGTTCAAAACTTTTTGATTAGCAGTCCAATGTCATGAGGGGAGTGACAGGGACTTGGGGATTGTGGTGGCCTCTCAATGCTGGAGCCGGCTCTCATCATCTTACAAATGCCAACTGTGGACATTTCCCCCCAACTTCACATTCAGAGATCTCACCTTAGTGAATTGGAATTGGCCAAGGTGGAAGTATTTACCCATGGAAATTGGCATATGCTAATCCCTGTGCCCCACCCCCCAGCTCAAGTGTTACTAGTGTTCTATTGGCACTGGGGAATCCAAACTTGAGCATTTTGTAGTGGTAGTGGATGATTTTATTGAACAGATTTCTGAAAAAGAAGCACAACCAGTCTTTTGTAAGTTGTTCTAGATGAGTGAAAACTCCAACCATATATATTTTTTTAAATTGTGATTTGGGTGAAGATTTACAGAGCAAATTCACTTTCCATACAGCAGTTCACATATACTTTGTCTCATGTCATTGACCACAGTTTACCACAATGCAACAGCTCCCCTCCCACTTCCTCCCCATAGTTACCTCTTCCCAGTGACCATCCCTCCATACTGCCCTCTGAGCTGTCTCCCTGTGCATAAGCAGCCCTTCTTTCTCCCATGATTGTTCTCTCCAAAGAATGTATCTACTTGAGGTAAATTCCAACCATGTTTTGAGATCATGATGATGTAGATTTTCAGGATAATGCAAACTAAAATAAGAAGTTTTGATTCTAAGCACCGTTTCACCTTTTGGTGAAAATTTACATCCTAAAACATGATGATGCATTGACCTAAGCCACCGAGAATAATGAAAAAATGCTAAGATTATGTTTGACATTTGGGAGCCAACTTGTATTTTACTCTGATGTGAAACTTTTAAGATGAAAGATGTATTCTTTCATTTTTTAAAAAAACATAAGATTAAGACACATGGATTGACCAAGGTGTGAATGTTGAAGGGTCATCTCTGGGAATCTAAAAAAGATCAAAAGAGGAAAGATAGTTGTTAATAAAATGCTATATGAAAAAAATTATTGTAACTCAGAAGACAAATTACAGTGTTTTAAAAAGAACAAGTCAAGTTCCATTTTATTCTTATCAAAATTATATCATTTTCATATTTCTTTCAATGATTGAGTTATAAATTTCCTTAACCTTATAAACTCCTTATGTCTGGGATAAGATGTATTTTACCCAGAAACTCTATAATTTCAAAGGCATAAAGTACAATCTCAGTTTTATACCAAGGATTCATTTAGGGCTGCAGTTAGCAGTTCAACACATAAATGAGAACTACTCTCTGATGATAACTCTAGATAAATTTGTAGCAGCTTGAAAATGGAACTTTAGTAGTGTGTGATTCATAAGCCATACCAAGATATGCCCAGTGATTTGATAATTTCATTTAAATTATTATTAAATATAAGCTAATAGACTATTAGTTTACTTAATAAACACTTTCTGCATAATTGACTAGGTCAGATATCTGATCAATCTAATTTGGTTATTGAAGTACTTAAAATACCACACCAATTGCATTTTGATAAAATGTTTAGGGAAATAATCTAGCATGTCCACTTGGTACTAGATCATTAAATAAAATGATCAACACTGCCTCAAATGAGTGTATTTTTCTTTTGGGTCTAAAACAATTGAACCATCACTTAATGATGGTCACTCACTTTTCAGTTGTTTTAAAGAATATAGGAAGTGGAAAGTAGACACAAAATGAGAATTTTCATTGAAAAAGATGAATCAGTTCTGTAATTTTTTTCATGGTTATCAAATCAATGTCAAGAACCTAAAAGTCCATGTAAGGGGTGGTTGTGACAGGGACCTCACATACTATGTCAGTAAACTGATCCACACAGGTCATCCGAATTAACTCAGGAGTTGCTGGGCTGCTCAAGGTGAAGGTCTTGGTGAATCCTCTCTCTCTGGGGGCAGCAGTCACTGCATCATTTATGGCAAAAAACACAGAGCTTCCCAGGAACATTCCAGCCTCACCCAAGCCCTGAGAGAAGGGCAGA